GCATTTGCCAAGACTCGCCTGAGACACCCCTCCCTTCGTTTTGATAGTCTCCCCTATCCTACCCGTGCAATATGAAGGCATGAACGTGCGCACGTATGCTCGGTCAGTCACGTGACAACCAAACGAAAGCAGGTTGACCATATTCTATGGATATGGGGCTCTGCCCCACGCGCGCTTCGCGTGCGTGGGGAGCCCCGCTACAACGCTTCAATCTCAACAGTTAACACTGCGTCACACAACGCGTGACGCTTTCAAGAAGTAATCCTTCGCATTTGCTCGAGACGTGAACTTGGGACACCTGTGTCTTAACATGAATTCAAAAAGCATTATCAATTTTAAAGAACCACAATCACATGAAAGTACCTACGCAGCGAATGTTAATTATGTCAATAAGACAATTTCTGACAATAATAATTCTTCAGCCATGAAGATATGGCGGAAAATATGTTGATGACCAGCTAAATCATTCGGTAACAAGTTCTGACAAGAGGAATGATTTTCAATATCTTATGAACAACCCTTCTGACGTGATGAGGATGCTATATCAGGTATTCAGATCACCAATAAATTGGTTCAATAACGGGTGCTAGTCTGACTTTAAAAGCATTCTCTGAAACCAAAAACTTAACACATGAGATAGAATTGTGTAAATTCGCATTTACATCTTATGAAAAATATTGAATGAAATAAGAACTTTCACAAGGGTAAACTGTTTGACGATAACAAATTTCTGGACACTCTGAAAGTTAATCATCGATAAATTTGAGAAAGAGTACCACCAGAAGCTCGTCTAAGTATATCCTTGATAACATCACCTTTCTCCTGCATTGCATCTTTACACTGAGATTTAGCCGTTTCGATGTTTACATTCATTCTTCCCTTTTTTATGCAGTCAAGGTCTGCAAATACTTTGTTTATTTTGTCTATCACAATAGACTCTTTCAAGGTTAACGCCGCCATTTTGCCGGGGGTGCAAAACTGCTGGGGCGAACGCAAAATGTACAGTGAATGTATGGGAAAAGTTGAGAAAATGATGCTCGATAATTTGAGGAAGGTTGACATCGTGCAATTTCTATGCATTACAAACTAAAGATACCAGACCTACCAGTTTACCGATCAAATTTGAGAAATGAAGTCTCGCGAAAAAAGCCGCAAATTAAGACTTTGATTTTCCATATATTTGTCTCAAGCCGCCGTTTGCGGGAAAATTTAATACCATTTGCATGAAAAACTAAAAATAAGATTTCTCCCTTCTCAGCGAGCCTGAACCCTTCACATTTAATCGGCAACATCTTTTGCTAGGTATCTTTACTTCGTAATTCATAGAAATTGCAGAATGTCAACCTTCCTCAAATTATCGAGCATCAATCTCCCGACTTTTTGCATACATTCACTTTTCATTTTGCGCTCGTCCCAGCAGTTTTGCACCCCCGGCAAAATGGCGGCGTTAACCTTGAAAGGGTCTAATGGTTCGATCTGTAGATTACACAGTCGTTCAAGATCATTAATCAAGTTACTTTCATGATGTGGTACTTTCGATGATAGACAGAAGGTTTGTGGAACTTGAACTTATTGTCGCGACACATTTTTTACAGACCAGAACATTATACACACATTCAAGTTCGATTTCTTTACAACATTCATCCTCTTCAACGACATAATTAACTTACCACAGAATGGACTTCTTTAAACTCAATCATCGCTGTGTGCACGTTTGTATCACAATTATTCATATATATAATAAAATGAGATAATTTTAAATCATTTTAATATAATCTCTAAATATGAGTCAACACGAGAGTGATTCTGATATTCGTAGCTTTGATAGCGATCACAGTTATGATAGTCAATCTTGTTCAAGCAGTTTGGAAGAATGTATAGATGACAGTCAAGAGAGCAGTTATGAGAGTGAAGACAGTAAATACAAATGTTCAATAGAACCAAGCGATACAAAACATAAATATAATCTCAGAATTTCGGAACAAAACAGTTACACTAAATGATCATCCAACCATAAACTATCACTCATTTCTAAGAATCTTATACAATGAATATATGAAGTTCATATATTTTGAACTGCGGTATTAAATACGTATGATGCACGATCCTTCGCAGTAGATAGCGCTATTTATGCAATAGCGAAAATCAGGCCTGTACGGGATTCGAACCACTGACCTCTGCGATACCAGTGCAGCGCTCTACCAATTGAGCTAACAAGCCAACTGGGAGCAGGCCGTTAAGTTGATTCGTAATAAACCCGTGATGAAAAATCGCGCAAAATCAAGGCGCGGAAATGCAGCGCAAAAATAAGGCGCAAAAATATGACGCAAAAATATAGCGCAAAAATATTGTGCGAAAAAATGACGTAATGAGCCAGAACCGCCAACAACTATGCTACTGTTTATCTCCCTCGATCGTTACTCGGGCTATTACTGACCATATGTAGAACGAGCGCGAGAGAGAGATCCGCAGGCTAAGGCAGAATTCAAGTGGATCCACAGTAACCATGACAGCTCGGTCTGTTTAACTGCCAGTAGTGGGATGAAAAAAAGAAAAAAATTCTAAGGAAGCATGCGGGGTGGTAAGAAGTTCACTATTTTCATGACAGAACTCTGAAACTTACAAGGGAGGGAAAGACGGTGGAAAGAGGGCTACAATGCACTCCGTTATGTTGGGAATCCATGCCTATCCTCCATTGTCACGTATGGGAATTAGTTCAGTCTGTTACTGAAAATTGGGAGTCATATAATGGGCTCTCTTGCCCTCTGGGCACATGATGTATAACAGACAATTCGGATCTGATGAACTGCAATTTAATTCTGTTGTGATTTTCCCCGAAGCGTCACTACCTAACATAAGTGTTCATGCTCTCTGCTTTACAGTCTTACTTATTTATCAATATCTAAATTATAACTATTTCTTCTAGAACGATCACTGAACACTAAATGGACAAAATGGTCAAAACTGGAGTTTCAAAATTCTGCAAGTTTGTCTATTATTATCATTTTTTTTTGGGACATTTATCACTGTCTTATCAGGATTAAGACAGCAAGCAAGAATTTAAAAGATAAATTCGAGTCGATCTTGGCCTCTTTAACCCCGGAGACATCTAAAAAGCTGGCCATAATAAATATAAATGATGTAAAATAAAAATGATGTAAAATAAAAATGAGGTATGCTTGTATGGTGTTAATGAAAAAGACTTAAAAACGTTCAGAAATAAAATTGTTATGTTCGCTTCGATTCTTCACTTTGCAATAAGGCTACCGACTTCTATCCCACAAAATCTGTAAATAATCGTAAAGTGTTCTTTTGAGATAAGGTCTCGCAATGTACTACCCCTTCAATTGGAGCAAAGGCTTGTTCAAGGATGAAATTGTACTCGCTATAAATACTAAAAACTGCTACATGCTAACTCTATGAAAGATTACCATACACCTTGAAACTGCCACTAACGCCAAGAAAGGTTGTCAAGATTCATTTAAAGTGCATTAAGCCACGCAAAGGTGTTTCATTAAGATCTTTAACCCCTCCCCTCCCCTCCCCCTGCTGACTCCACTGTTCTCATCAAGAGTGAAAAGTCTATCATCCCCTACGCCCACAAAATTTACAGCCGTATCGCAACTGGCAATTTCGTTGAGTCATGAAGCAAAATGTAGTAAGTGACATCCTTTAAATTTATGCTAAGAGCAAGTGTTATGCTTGAACTTATGATGACGATTGTTTGAAGGAATGAATACTCTCAACGGAGACTTAAACGATCATGATCTCAAAATCTAAAACTTTCATAAGGGGTAAAAATTGTATTAAATATCACATATATTCATAAGAAATAATTTGTGACTCGAGCATATCAGTTACGAACAAGCAACTCTTTTAGTAGCTTACGCGGTAACTTGTTACCTAAGCCCAAAGCAATTGATTAATACCGAACAATTTATCTATTGAGTGTTTTCCCATATTAAGAAATGATTAAAAATTGTGCTTTAACTACAACCAATAGTTTTACGAATTTTTCGGTAAAAATTATCTTCAGTGTACTTAACAAAAAATTGTGTATAAATGGCTTTTCCTCTATTAACTTTAATGAACTACGTGATCACAGTGAAAAGGAAAAACGTTGCAGCTGAAAATTAAATCCCTTTCTTTGAACGTAAAACGACTCTAAAAATTCCTTTAGACTCATAAACTACTTCATTCAATACTCATGCAGATAAAATTTTTATGTCACGGCACTACAAAATTTTTGTTCACAGGTGTTCATTATCTAATTACATAAACATTAAATTCAAATTTGAAATTGAAATTGTATCTTATCTGCGAGGATAATTTGCTAAAATCTAAAACAGCAATGTTTCATTTGACATTATCTTTTACATCTAAGAATTCATTAAACTTTACTTTCTGCATCTAAATATCTCTACTGTAAAAACCATTTCAAGAAAATTATTTAAATAAATCGTTTCTCGGATCGCCGGTTAAATCTGTTGATGATAATGAGATATATGTTATGTCATGTTAAATTTTGTCAGGGTTCCTTGCCGCCCTACGGAAAAAGAACATTATGATTAGTATAAACTGTGAATGAGCGAAAACAGAGCCAATCATAGCTTAGGAAAACTGTATCCAGCCACCTTTAGAGGACACACTGACGATAGGGCTTAATATTTACACCTATATTTCTTGGTCTTATCCAAAAGACACAATACACTTATTTTTAAAAATCAAATTGCATAGAAATCGACAGTATATCGCTGTTTGGAGGATTATAATGCAAGACTGAAAGTTTTCATTAATCGGATAGTTTTCTTTGATCGGATAGCATGAAAATATCCTTAACTTAACAGGGTTAAATAATTTATTACATCCATTTTGAAATCACTGGTTATCCTTGCAATCTGATTGGCTCTCATCAGTGCGATTTATTAACGAATCGCACCATTTTATGCTCTAAATCGCATCTTTTTCCCAGCCAATGAGACGGCTTTAGATAAACACAACAAGTAATCACATTTCAAGGCTTGTTTAAAGAAACCAATCAAATTGCAGGAAATTGAAAAGTCAACTTTTGTAACTTTTTACCAAACAGTTAACACTACTGGAACGATAAAATATTTATACAGAATAAAAAACCAGTATTTGCGCAACTGAATTTTGTGATTTAAAAAAAAATGTAAAGTGGTGACTGAAAAGAGTGAAGCGGAATTTTGGTCTGAAATGATACGTGTCTAATTTCAAAACAAATTACACTCCGCTCAGTTCAATTAACATTATTAGTCACGTAATTTAAGACGAAAAAAAGAAAGGTACCCTAGAGAGCCCTCGTGGTAAGCAAATGGCGCAATAAGAGTCCTTTTCACCGGAGTACCGACTCTCTCAGGTCCAGAGCCCCCCATCCACGCTGGCGGACGAGGCTCGGCTGTCCTGGGTCTTGGTGATCCATCCACTTGAGAGGTAACAGGGCTTCTGAAGCTGGGAAGGTTTTAAAAGGCACAGTTAACGAGACTTTCCTGAATTTAACTAACATTAGCAGTTTTAGACAAAGAGTTCTTTTTTTACCCACTATGTTTGCATACCATTTCTATGCACAATTTTTTTACAACAAGTTAAAAATTATGCATAAGTGCCTATGGTCAAACCAGAATTATTCTTCATTCTCTCATGTAGACAGTTGTCTACTTGTTGTATCTTCCATTTCTATTAATACTCATACAGGGTAGTTATTTAAACATTTCATCATTTCTCTTTTAAGTCACATTCCCTCAAGATGATGGGAATCAATATTAACACGTAGGGCAAATGTTGTATTCATTCGAAAATTATTTTTGATTTGTTTCGTACCTCCGTAGACTTCTGCGTGATTCTTGATCTGTGTACGAAATAATAAATATATGATCAGATTACCGCCTGGCTTGTTTTTGTGTGCTACGATTTATGCAAGCTTGAAGGAAAAGTGTCACAACTCAAAAAACGCGAGCACAGTTAACAAACCTCTCCTAAAGTTACTCGTTTCGGGCATCGTTAACAAATCTGTTCATCAGGAAAATAAGAGAGTAAAAGATAAGAGATTGGGAAGCAGAATAAAAATAAGAATTTGAAACTCATTTCAAACTGTTACAACAAGTCAAATCAGAAAATTGCAAACACGACGCTAAGCATACTCCTTTAGCAAAGTAAAGGCTGACAAACCTTTGTGATGACCACCTTTACGAGCTACACCAAGATAGTCAGACACTGGACCTCTGTGCCGCATACTTGCACTTCGCCGTAGAGATGTATTGGGGTCTACGAAATACACGGGTGTCCATGTTAGTAAGGGTGCACGTAGTGGTTAAGGAGCTTCCAACAATTGATTCCTGCTACAGAGCTGTTGTTTAATCTCATCAAGCAAGGTGGTTGCAGGAAGGGGGGGTTGGGGAGGGAGAGGATATGGATTGCGACAAGGCCAAAAACCGGCTGCGAAGGAGACAAGTCTGAAAATGAACATGTTAGATGATTTATGTTTCAAAGGTTGAAACAAAATTATAGCAGTTAAGATGAAAAAATTAGAAAGGGGCAGTTGAATAACATCCGTTTTTCTCAGCCACTCACGATGATAACGCTCACATCGTGTTTCACGACGAAAATCTTCCCTGTGAAGCTTATAAACACCCTTAGCTATTGCTTTATACGCCTGTAGCTCAAAAACAAGCTCGGCGTTTCCTCATTTCGTATCTCTGAATTCAATCGGTAAAACAAGATATACCTTTTTGCAAAATTTAAAATATGTAAATGAAGTTCAGAATTACATTATTTAAGGTGGCTCTAAACCACGCAGCACTATGACGGAAAGGCACATCAATAATTCATAGAGTTCTCAAGGTAAACTGACCAATTTTGCGTGCACTTTCCATTACATCAGAACGGTTTGCAACTGATGAGTCACACTGTCGTGGGGAGTTGCTTAGAAGATCTGCAATTTGAATTACCGAGTCAGTTTATTAATCAAAGCTAGTGAAGTTTAAAACTGTATACAACTGTTATCTGAATGTCTCTGACCTGGGTGGCCGCCACCTTTGCGAGCCAGTCTGAGGTATTCCGTGGATTCCCTATTCGAGCTACTTACAGTCCTGGGGCTGTTTACCGGAGTTGTATCTAAGAAGAATCACAATGAATACTCGATGATTCTGACCATTTTTCTCAATGAAATGTATGAATCAGAAGTTTGGGACAGCCAGAAATATCGATATAAAAAGACAAGATTTCGAACGGACTGCATCACAGCTACAATGGAAGGATATGCCGAACGAGACCCTTCTCGTTGAGCGGCGCTTTAATTCATTATCAATAGTGAGATTATCATGTCTATTTATTTCAATCAACGTTTATCGCACTGTTACAAATTTGTTGCAACAAAAGGGAAGGTTTTCATCCACCTGTATTTTGCTTCTTCGCTTCCTTTGGTTTCGGGCTGGCTTGGTGAGGCGTCATCATGAGTAAGTCTACAACCGAGATATTTTAGAAAATGTTAGTCATCCAACAATAGAGGAGGACCAGCATGAAGTTTACCGATATGGAAAAGGCAATAACTCTTATTACATTATGATGTAAGCATGAATGAGAGTCTAAGATTTCAGCGAAATGCAATGGAGTCATTTAAAAGCATCACTGTCCAAAGGTGAAGCTTACGTGGTTGTATGGCGCCAGTAAATCAGTAGGTAGCACAATTTTTTCGACAATCTATCACTGCTTCTCGTCCAAACGCACATAAATACTATTTCTCTTGAAAAAGGCATTCTCTTAGCAGTCCAAGCTCCCCCCCCCCAAAAAAGCAAGACCTGTGACGAACCCATCTTAATTGACCGTTTGAGACCTATACATAATTTTTTCTTTATAATTAAGAAACAAGTCGGAGAAACCATAGATATACAGCGTAAAAACTTATTCAAGTCACTCCACAGAGATTAGAAGGTTGTTAAATCCGCCAAACGACGACATTTTTTAAGAGCCTTAAAGAACAGCTGATTCAAGGTATCTTGAAGATGTCTATTTCAAACTGTGTCAACAAGAACCATTCACTGGTTGCAAAATTGTTTCGAATTCCTCGTACCTGTCACTAGTGTCTGACGCTTATTATAGGGCTAAGGTAGTCAGTATTACAAGTCAGCCTCATGTAGTCTTGGAAGTTTTCTAAACCTTTTTCCTTGGGGCACACCTTTTTTACAGACCAAGAAGCTTTACTTGCAAAACTTTTATCTTAACACGCTTCTGTTTTTGTATACCTTTATGTCCACCTCCTTTCCTCGCCATTTTCAAGTATTCACTGGAAGCCGATGAAGTTTCCACGTTTGATTTCCTTGGACTATAAGCAGGAGATTCTGTAAAAGCGAGTTCTTAATTTTATTATTAGAAAAATCAGAGGCGCAAAACAAGAAACAGTTACATGTTCACATGCATATGTAGTTGACATTGACTTAAAAAAGAATCAATCATTAGTCATTAATAATCGCCACAAGTTCCATCGGGATCGATAGAGAACCAGCTACAAGCAAGAAAACTCTCAGTTGAAGAACACACCTTTCTTCTGAAGTGACTCTTTACCATTAATTCCATCGTGATAGTACCAGTCTCCGAGCTTGCTCTCTGAATTCGTGGGGGTAGGACTGGGTTTGTGATGTTCAGTTGCTAAAAGGCCCACAAAAAAAAAAAAAAAAAAAAACAGTAATCACCTACTCTTAATTTCCCTAGGTCCTCTTTTTGACCTGTTATCATTATCTGACTCAAGGCAAATCTGGTCGAAGAATTAACAATTATAAAAGACTGTTGAGCAGGTTGAAGCCCCGGAATTTAAGCTAACATCAAATAAAGTCAGAAACACAGTACAAACATTACAGTGACTTTCCAAAAGGGTTAGTCGTACCACTATTGGCTATGTGCACACAGCCTGTGTTTAACCAACAAATAAAGATACCTTAGCAAAGGCGGCGAGACAGAAGGGGAAAATTGTAGCCATCCGAGCGAAAATTTGCGGGAATGGAACTTTTCCTCATAAAATTCATGAAAAGCATACCGTTCACTCGGTTACCAACTGGTTTGAGGTGAATATTTACCTTTGTGTCCCCCTCCTTTCCGTGCTTTCTTAAGATACTCAGTTTCAGTACTGATTTCTTTCGGGGAGTTACCATTTTGATGTTGAGTTCCTACAAACAAGAACAAAACCATGAAAATAAAAAAGTCCTTCAAACAGTATGCGTGTAGATTCAAATGTTATTGGTTTGAAGAATACCAATAATGCCAGCATTAACGAACCGGCTTCAGGAACACTGTCCCCTACGGATAAGTGATTTTGTTTTTTTTTTTCAAAACTGCGGGAGTAACTTTATGAAACTGTCTGTTCTTTTTCCAGCGGAAAGAATAAATGCTTCACAGACAATCGATGAAGTGGTACCTTTTTTCCCTCGCGTTTTACTTCCATCAATATAATCTTGATTGTACCAGTCCCCTCCCTTCTTTTGGTATCTCTGCGGCTTAGGAGATGGTGTGTGGGCCTCCATAGTCAAAAGATCTGCGAGTAAAAATGCCCTTGTGTACAATAGTCTAGAGATGATACAATTCTCTATTCTTTCATCAAATGTGCTTGTTCTTCATAAGGTGTGCTTGTTGTTCAAAGAACTGCTTGATCAGATGCTGCATCATCTACTCATTAAAAACCTGTCTTCAATTTGATTAATTTTCATATACCTGAGGATTTGCATGTACATAATCGAACTGCTATACTGCATCATCAAGGTCACCTTGTTTAACTGAAAACTTAGCTACTTACACTTATCTCTACATGGGTTCGTTTGATTTTTGCTTATCTAGAGAGTTTAAAGCCGCAGACCTCCTGATACATGCTTTTCTCGAGGTTTTTAAACCAACTTACATGGATAAAGAGTTACTTATGAGTGCAGTTGCCAGCTCTTAATTCTGATTGTTATACTACATTAATTACATAATACCACATTAATTACAAATATTACATAATTATGCAAGTATTACGCTACCGTATTTCCAAATAGTTAACACTCACTTTCTTCCGTTGAATTACCTTTGTCTTGTTTTGTTACAGCTTTCGTCGCACATTAAATTATGGGTTAAATTAGTATTAATATGCCGGCCCTATATCATATTTGATATTATATTACATATTATATTACACATCATGTTACATATTATGTTACACATTATGTTAGCGTTAGTACCTTTATGGCCTCCACCTTTTCTAGCCATTTTAAGGTATTCTGTGTTAGTGTTGTTGTATACATTTGAATTTCCAGTGTTTTTACGAGGACTTCGAGTTGCATCTATAGAACAAAAATGGCATTTTCATAGTTGTTCACAGAAAGAAGAGATGTACGCTGATTTGTGAAATTGCTGAGTTTCTGAACTATTGTAAAATCTCGTTCATAGCTGAGTTTAATTGGGCCGTTGTAAAAAGTTCGAAAAGAGTTTATAAGACCCCCCCCAATCTAACATCAGTAAAAAATCTAAACAAATATTACTAAGATTGATTACAAGCAGAGTTATTTTTTAATGATTAAACAATTAAACTACAACTGTCACTAGAGCATAATATCGACGTAAAAAAATATGGAGAAGGGGTAAGAGCACTCGCATTCCCATCACTCTGACTCAGATTATTGACCTGACATAACATGTGGGTTGAATTTTTTTATTGGCTTTGTCCTTGCTACAAGGTTTATTGTCATGCTTTTCTGTCTTCCCTCCTTCAGGAAAACTCCATTTTAAAATAAACAGAATGAAGCACATACCAGAATGACCGCCACTCTTCCTTGCCAACATTAAATAGTCTGATGTAACGTTATTGTTGTTTTCAGATGGACTGGGTGGTGAAACTGTTGCTCCTAGACAAACAGGCAGATCCACACATAACTAAATACTGAACTTATCTGAATTGTGAACTCAAACTGTTCAAAGTAAACATAAACACAAAATAATTTGAATAATTTTCAAAGGCCAATTGAATAAGATTTGCAAAATTCTGGATCATGAACTAAAAAGGGTGAAAAAACAAAGGTTTCTTTACTCCAATGCCCAGTGAAATAAGTAGTGAAAAAATCATCCACAAGATATTGCCAAACGTAATGAAAAACGCCGTTTTGGGAAATTTCCAGTTGCATGGTAAGTTGTTGCTGTGGTTTTTCTAAATCTGAACATCACGAGAGTTACACTGAAACATACTTGTTGTGTCCTTATTATTTTGACTGTACCAGTCCCCTCCATTCTTTTGGTATCTCTGTGGTTCTGGTGATGGGGTGTGTGGCTCAATTGTTAGAAGATCTGAAACAAAAAATCCAAATGAATCAATCTTTGCACTGTTCACTGCTGGGCAGGTGTAATAACGTAGTCCCATTTTGAAATGTCTGGTATCCTCTTCAAACAATTGAGCATCATTGTACTGAATGAAGAATGAGCCCAGTGGAACTGTCAGCATATGAAATCAACTCTTATTATTAAAGGGTATCCTACATTCTGCAACAACTAGATTCCGCTAGAACGGGGAGCCCAAAAACAAATTATTTTGATTTTACATGAATAACAACATTAAATGAACACTAAACGCCTCCTATCAGATGATAATTGCATTTATCTTGTGCTATATCACAAAAACGTACACAAAGCAAATTAACAGGAATACTTTGTTTGAAATTGTATCGAACTAATTCCATCATTCTGATCTCTCACCTTTATGTCCTCCACCCTTTTTGGCCATCTTTAAGTAGTCTGTTTCTTTCTGGGTGTTAGTTGAGCCCTCCAAGTCTGATGGATATGGATTTTTAGAAACTGTTACCATTTCTAAAAAAGAAGCAAGTTCATTCGTTTAACACATTTTGAGAGCAAAGGGCCTACTACAGTGAAAGACAGAGTTTTTACCTTTTCTTTTCTGTGTTTCTTTGACATCCACTCCATCATGAGCATACCACTGTCCATCTTTCTTGTCATATCTGACAGGTTCAGGGGTAGGTGTGTGGGGTTCCAATGTTAACAGATCTACATGCATGGTATTAAGTCAGGACATAAGAATCACCAAACAATCCTACTAAATGCACTGAGCAATTGGCAATTTTTTAATGGAAATTTTGTTATATGGTCAACACAAGGTTCTTTGCTTTTGGTGCAAATGATGACAGAAATGAAATTTCATTATTTTTGCTGATTCATTTTACTCCATTCCTTTTTACATGTCAAATGAGTAATAAGGCTCATCATTTATTAACAGCATTATTATTAATACTTAACCCATTATAGAAATGACATTTTTATGTTCACAAAAGTGTCTTGCTTTCTGTTTAAAAGCAGTTATAACTAATTCCTGGCATGAGAAATGCCAATATGTACCAAACATATATCATTGTAAGAAATATACAACTTTTTTTAGAGACATGTTTCGGCATGCTTATGCCATCTTCAATCAATGAGTAACTGAACATGAGTAATTATATAACAGACAAGTAGATGAATAAAATATTTACAGTATGATGTAATACAAAAGCAGGTACTAATTACAGCGTGACAACAAACATGAAATTAAAGGTGTGAACTAAAATGCTAGAAAAGTGTTATAATGCTGTAATTGTTGGTTAAGTTCAGGTTTGATCTTATTTATATAAAAAGCTTCTTTGCGTTTTAAACCAATTGAGTTGTTGGCAGAATCCAGAATACTAAAGCAAGAAAGGGAGTATTTGTTCTTACTAGAAGGAGATGTGTTAAAATGCTTAACTTGTTGAAATAGAGAAACTKMGATTTMYMATAAATAAGATCAAAAGCATTTTAACACATCTCCTTCTTGTAAGAACAAATACTCCCTTTCTTGCTTTAGTATTCTGGATTCTGCCAACAACTCAATTGATTTAAAACTCAAAGAAGCTTTTTATATAAATAAGATCAAACCTGAACTTAACCAACAATTACAGCATTATAACACTTTTCTAGCATTTTAGTTCACACCTTTAATTTCATGTTTGCTGTCATGCTGTAATTAGTACCTGCTTTTGTATTACATCATACTGTAAATATTTTATTCATCTACTTGTCTGTTATATAATTACTCATGTTCAGTTACTCATTGATTGAAGATGGCATAAGCATGCCGAAACATGTCTCTAAAATAAGTTGTACATTTCTTACAATATTTATCCTACTTGCTACTACTACGACCTAACAGAAATATATCATTGTGTAAGGACTGCTTTATCTCTATTCAATTAAGAAAAGCAAATAAAATAGTAAAATGAAACAAGGATAATATCTAGAATCCAGCATAATGCTTCTCTCAGCTGCTAACCTTTATGTCCTCCACCTTTCTTAGCAATCTTGAGATAATCAGTTTCTGTTGGAATTTGTTCAGAACTTGACCTACTTGATGGGCGTGGACTTGAGGACACTGTGACCATTTCTGAAAAATCAAGTTTTCCTTAGGCAGAGGAAACCAATTGAACCTGGGTGCATTTTGTGAACTATGGGCATGGGTAATGTTAGCTGTGTGACCTGTACGCTATTTGAAATCCTTAGGCTCTTAAAACATCATTCAATGCAAGAGCACATTATGCCATTTTTTTATTTCTTATATTCTCGACAAAATGTTTCACCAATGATCAACATACATGTCACAATGAGACATTTTAAAAAAAACTTGACACTCAATATGTACACTCAAAGTAGCCCAATTTGGAAACTGCACTTAATCTTCAAAGTATGAACAGTCTTAACTAGCAATCAAGTAAACTGCTAAACCCGGCCTAGGGAGTTGGTCTGTTGACAAGAACAACACAAGCTCAAAAAATATTGGATGGTTATCGATTCCGTTGATTTGCATCTTTGCGTTACAGAGATCAGAGCTCCAAATGCAAACATTAAGATCATTAATTGAAATAAAACACATCTAGAGTTATACTTGTGGCACTGAAAAATGTTTCCTAGAGAGTGGATGTTATATCAATTTTTATCTCCTTCGTCAATATAGATGTTTTCTAAGTGTCTGCTATTTACTACAAAATTGATCTAATACACCAATCATAAACAATAAACAAAAGCTGGAAGATTTCCAACATATTGTGGCTTATGGTGAAAAATGTATTACGGCCACTGCAAAATACCACGAGGTTTACTAAAGGTAAACCACTCTCTCATACACATTGTAATGTCAGAGGACCACATAATCATCTCATAAAAATCATTATAGTTCACCGTAGAGAGTTCCATCGTATCTTTCAATTCAGATTTAATCATCAATCAGCTTGCCTTCTCACAACCAACATTGACAAAGGGGTGGGGAGATAACAGATTGAAACCATAAACATGAGGAAACAGAATATGAGCTGCATATGATTAACTCAAAAAGATATAATAAGAGTCAATTCAATGACAATTGTCAACACTCAGACCTTTCCTGGATTTTTCAAGATGTTCTAAAGATACAGTCAGCAAATTCTTCCTAACACCTAATTTAACTCACCTTTTCTTTGCTGAGTGTCTTTAACATCAACTCCATCGTGATTGTACCACTCTCCATCTGTTTTGTCATATCTGACTGGTTCAGGGGTGGGCGTGTGAGGTTCTACTGTTAACAGATCTACCATAAAGAAATTACCAGTTAAAATCAAGACACAGTACCCTTTATGCTAACATACTGCAATGTGTTCCACAACATTAACACTAGCCTCAGGCTTGTGAAAACTCATTTTTTGGCTGGTAGTTTTTGGACCATCACTGGCCTAAATCTCTATTTCAACTTTCACTTCAGGTGAAGCAAACCACAAACTCAAAGTGCTTACCCCTGGGAAATAAATAGCTTGCCAGCTTTTTTCGTTTTGCTTTTTGTTTTTGTTTGTTTTTTACCAGTCCAGCCTATTTGCTAGGAGCATTGGCAAACAAGCACTGACAGACTAGAAAAGATCTCTGATGAGGTTTGAAGGAAATCCTTCACTCATTAGCTTCTAAAGACATCCGAGGGATTACAAGTACTCAAATAAATAGCATAATTATTTCTCAAGTTTACAGAACAACCTTTATGTCCTCCGCCTTTCTTTGCAATCTTTAAGTAATCTGTTTCTGTGTCCACTTCCAATGAACTATCCAGGTTTGTTGAACGAGGACTGCTTGCAACTGTTACCATTTCTAAGGAGTTAAACAATGAAAGTGTTCATTGTGATGGTCAAAAATTTTACTTGAAATCCAATGTTATCAAGTAATGGCATTCCATGAACAATGCATGGAAAATTTTTGAATTCCATCATTCCCTTAGGGAAACTTTCACATCCCACTTTCTTGAGGTATTTCTTTACTAGTGTAGCTCATTACTCATTTGTAAGTAAAAGGGAAACAAAATCAAATACTTTTATGTTTCAATATCAACTACTTAACAAAAACTATTATAACATAGCTAGCAGAGCCATGCAATCAAATTCAGTATACGTAAGCTGGCTCAAAATCCCGATAGTGCACGCTGATAGCGTGAGCAAATCGCTTTGCCATAAATTTCTTTTTTTTGCATGAGCAGCCATTGTTAGTGTGGGGAAAAATAATATATTTTGCGACAATAATGGATACAAACAGAGACTCGGCCCACCAGTCCCAAAACAAAGACAGTTTTCCCACAATTTTCCCTTGGGCTAGAGTTCTTAAATGAGGCAGAAAAAGAGAAAAACAATGGAAAAGGAGACTTGGCATCAGTGCCGTCACGATTCGCTGATATTGTTGTCCATTTTTCGCATCAGATTTGAAGCACAGTTCCACTGGCTGTTATAAAACAATTGGTTCATGCTTTCAGCTGTGCACTATCGAGTTATGGAACACATGGGAAGTTTGGAGAGCACTCAAGAAGCTAGAGTTGCCCTCGGCTATTGCCTTGGGCAACTCTTCGGCTTCTTTGGTGCTCTCTAAACTTCCTATGTGCTCTCTAACTCGATAGTGCATGCTAATGCATGAACCAATTGTTAATTAGATTTGCAAAGCATGCTAATATGATCTTGTCAAAACTTTTCATAAAAGCTTGACCCAGAGATTACACAAACTAGTCAATTAGTTGCTTGAGCTACTTTCAGGCTGCCTGTTCAAGTTTAAGTAAGAGGAAGAGCTTCAACCTTTTCTCTGTTGTGTGTCTTTAACATCCACTCCATCATGTGCGTACCACTGTCCATCCTTCTTGTCATATCTGACTGGTTCAGGGGTGGGTGTGTGGGGTTCCACTGTTAACAAGTCTAACAATAATATAAAAAGAGATTTATGCAACACTTAATTTTCCAGATTCAAATACATTTATGGAGTTATTGTGCATGCAACATACCATGAATAAAAATTATACTTTTACAGATTACCTTTGCGTCCTCCCTGTCTGGCTGTTTCTAGGTAATCGCCATTGTGTTCTCCAGCAGCCGAGGTATCTTCTGGAATACTTTCCAGGGTCACCGACAAATCTACATATAATAAACAAACTCCTAAAATTTCCATTTATTGAAATAATATGGGTATAGCTCTGCTACAAAAGCACTGAGTTGGTGCCTCTTATCCAAAGAAAACAATAGTTATTGCAACAACTTATAATTTTTTGAAAGAAGGAAAATCTTCCCTAAAAAAAAATCTGTCATCCATACCCCTAAGGACTTTCTCACAGTAAAAATACAATATAATCTGACCACATGGACGTTAAGACAGCTGAGTGACAATAACTCTCAATAAAGAGATGACAACTTTAAATTTAAATTTACAAGACATGTTTCAACATTCTCATGTCATCTTCAGTTGCATATGAGCTTTTAACGGTTGTACATTTGAATTTATATAAAGGTATGTTATAAATTACGTGTCAGGGCTTAGGTTACAATTTGAAGAATTATGTTACAATTTGAATTCTCTTCACAATGGAAAGGGTTAAGAAATTATCGTTTCTAGATATATTGTTAGACAACAGTCATCCATCCATCGTCACCAGTGTATATTGCAAGAAGACATTTACTGGTTTTCTTACTAATTATTTCAGCTTTACCCCTTTGATTTACAAACTGGGCTTAGTCAGAACATTAGTTGACAGAGTATATAAGATCAATAATTCCTGGGCTGGTTTTCATCTGGATGTTAAGAAGCTTATTTTCTTACTACGGAAAAACTGTCTTCCATCTTGGGTCATAGACAGGATCATTTACAGGTATCTAGCTAAGAAAAATAATCCTTCTCTTGCTGGGCAGAATGCCTCATCTGACTCCAGGAAACCTTCTTCGCACTATTATGAACTTCCTCATGTTGGCTGGTTTTCAAAAATCGCACAGACTAAGTTAAGACAACTACTCAAATGTTATTGTAAAGCTGATTTAGATGTTAAATTAGTTTTCAGTATGTTTAAACTCAGAAACATGTTCAGTGTGAAAGATTCAGTACTGCTAGGTCTACGTTCATGTGTTGTTTATAAATTTTTGTGTGCTGGCTGTAATGCCAGTTACATTGGTGAGACCACTCACCACATTTGTACACGAGTTCATGAGCGCCTCTTGTTGGACAAGTCTTCAAATATTTACAGGCACCTGCAATCATCAAGGGCCCGTCTTGATTCTTGTGATACAGAATGTTTCATAATCTTAGATTCTGCTGCCTCAAAATTCCAAATTAAGATCAAAGAAGCATTGCATATAAGTGGGAAAAACCCATTTTTAATCAGCAATTGAAACATCTAGATTTATCTCTTTCCTTTTAATTATGTTGTTCCTTTTGTCGTTTATTTATTATTATTATCATTTAATTTTTTTTGGTCCAGTTATGCGCGAGCTATTTTCATTTTTTGTGTATTTAATATTCAAATTAACGTAAGCCCTGACACGTAATTTATAACATACCTTAATATAAATTCAAATGTACAACTGTTAAAAGCTCATAATTATGCAACTGAAGATGACATGAGAATGTCTAAACATGTCTTGTAAATTTAAATTTATAGTTGTCATTTCTTTATCAAGACAATAATTATAATCTGAATTGAAAACATGAGGTTACCCAGTAAACAAAACACCAAAACTGGGATCCATATCATCAATCAGTCTCTACTCATTTCCTCACATTTTGTGTTCTGTCAACTTCATTAACTGAACAAAAAGTGACTCAAAGTAAAGGCTGTCTGCAAAGGTCTCAGAAAGAGCAAATTGATCCAATGTAATGTAGAGGGTCTCATAATCAACTGAAAATCAAACTAAAATAAACTCCCTTTACAACACCCCTTGTAAACAACTTGGGCAACAACTTGTTTCATGCAGCTGTTGAAAAGTCACCAGCTATATGAAACAACTCCATAATTCTTGTAGGTACATTTACCTCTTCTCTGTTGTGACTCTTTTATGTCCACTCCATCATGGGTGTACCACTGTCCATCTTTCTTATCATATATGACTGGTTCAGGGGTGGGCATGTGAGGTTGAACTAATAATAGATCTGTAAGCACAGATGCGCAATCATGAACACTTACAATATTTCTTTCAGTGAAGAAAATAGATTGTTGTGTTACATATCTGCTAGATAGCCATTTTTAACAGCGAACAGCTTCATTTAATGCCTAGTCATCTAGTTGGGAAGGATTAGCCCTTTGTAAAACTCCTCATTTTAAGGAGCCACTCTGATGTCAAATACCCAAGATTTCTCTACAGGGTGCATGTCAATCATCACCACCTTCATATTCCCATGAATTCTGAAACACTGTGAAAATTCACTTTCTTTTAAAATCATTTAATACCCATTTTTAACAAACATGATTGTTATTTTTAAAAGATATTAAAAATAATCAAAGAGTGCAATGCTCCACAATTATGTAAGCATGCTGTGCAACTCATCAGTTACCTTGATGTCCTCCACCCTTTTTGGCCAACTCCAGGTATTCTCTGTTATTACATCCTGCGGCTACGACACATTCACTGTTCTTCTGATCATCAAGTGACACAATTGAGTCTAGAAAACAAAATATCAATCAATGATTATAACATATTCCCTTCATTGATCAACATACAATTTACCATTTATTCTAGTGTAGCTGATTATTTATGGTAATGTTCAGAGCTATGCATACAAACTATTGATTGTGTAATTAATTCAACCTGGTTTACACCTGGAAGCAATGGTTTTAGGCTTTAGCAAACCAGTGGGCTAGCTGTGAGGCAACCTTTTCTGTAGCCTGTGATGTTAAGTCACAACTTCAATGTGACCTACACAGTGTAGGGCTAACTTTGCAGAGGTCTCTCATATCAGCATTCTTCTAGAGATCCTTATGAGTGTACCATGAATCATGTGTTAACACCCTTTTTAAGTGCCTATACTGCACCCAAAAATGTCTGAATTTTAAAGCTTTGTGGCCTTTGCCCATTTCTTCTCCAAGAGTAAATGTATATACTTGTCCTGATCATTCAATGAGAAGAAATATTGTTCATTGCCAAGAAAAGAGAGTCCTGAGGATTAAAATTTATCTTAGTTAGAACCCAAGTGCTATCATTAATTTTAGGCTCCACCTGAAAATACAAACCATAAAAATTTTCAAAGTGTGGAAGCAAAGAAGATACTTCATGCTACATCCTACTATTTACCTAATCGTTGCTGTGTTTCTTTGACATCCACTCCATCATGAGTGTACCACTGACCATCCTTCTTGTCATATCTTATCGGTTCAGATGAAGGTGTATGTGGGCTTATTGTCAATAAATCTGAAAAAAAGGAAAATACACAAGTCAGGGCTTCCCTAGCTTTGTTGAAAAATGGTTACAATTGACTTTCTCACAATTACCAAACTTTTTTTCAAAGGCTCTTAATAAAGGTACAATGTTTTCACTATCATTATTAGTTAAATATTTGCTAATTAAAGTTATTACTAATTTGTTCATCCTCATCTGTTTTCTAACAAAGGCTAAATGTTTTTGATTCTCCTACTCCTGAAACAACCAGTTCATTATCTGTTGTGTTCAGTTATAAAACAAACACACAAATCATATTATA